TATCCTATCACTTACAGCATTATACCTCATCACTTTTTGACGATGAATGCAACACCATTCCTTTTCAATTTGTCATTCCCTGCATAGTAAACCATGTAGTTGTCAGATTCAAAATGGCCAATACCAGTCCATTTCAGCTCACTAATCCCTAAGATATCGATGTTGATGCGTTCCATTTTATTTTTGACAACTTCCAATTTTCCCAGATTCATACTTCATACATTCCATGTTCCGATTTACAGCTATTTCTATTCATTTTGAGTTGTGGTCCATCAGCAAATGAAGGTTCTATGCACTTTTCTCCCCCAGCTTAACTCTATTCACATCATCATGGTGAACTCTACTTTGAGGAGGCATTTTTTCCCCAGTCGCATTCTGAGTGCCTTCCCACCTGAGGGGCTCATTTTCCGGTCCTGTATCTGACAGTGTTTCTCTGCTATTCATAGAGTTTTCAGTGACTAGCGATTTGGAAGAAGTTCGTCACTCTTTCTTCCTAGTCTTTCTTTGTCTGTAAGCTCATCTGAAACCTGTCCACCATGGGTGACCCTGCTGGTTATTTAAAATATCGGTGACAGAGCCCTCAAAATCACAGCAACTCAAGCCACCACAGCACATTTGCTTTTATGTCGAAACTGTCACTTTACATTTCAATATCAATCCTGATACAACAATCAAGATACAATCAAGATGTTCTCGCCTGATACTATCAATCCTGATACAATCAAGATATTCTCTCCCAAGATGGTGGCTCCGGGAACAGCTGAGTGTCTTGAACCAGAAAACAATGGATTTCTGGATTCCCCTGCATATTCCCCAGCTGTAAACCCTCCGATCCTCCAAACATACCTTTATATTTGTTTCAGAGTTCCAACACCATCCCGTGAGCCCTCTTAGCCTGGTATTCTGTGGTGTTGTTGATGGAGCTCCTCACTACACATCTACCCAATCCGCCATCTTGAAGGTGCAAGGCCTGGTAGTGTAGTGGTTAAGAATCTGGCTGCGAACCCTGTGGTCAGCAGCTCAAATGCACCACACCCTCCGTGGGAGAGAGATGAGGCTTTCTGCTCCTTACAGTTAAAATGGTCTTGGAGTCTGGCGCATTAACACACAGCACCACACCAGAACTTCGAATCTTGCTCTCGCTAAAGTAACCCAGTAGTAGGTCAAAATAATGTACCTAACTATAGTATATGTTGGGTCCCTGGTAGTACAAAAAGTTACATGTTTGACTACTAGCCAAAATGTTGGTGGTTTGAGTTCTCCCTGGAAGACTAGCCATGTGCTTCAAAAGATCACAGCCTTAAGAGCCCTATGGAGCAGTTCTACATGTAGTTGCCATAAGTTGAAACCATGTGTATCATGTTGACAGCTAACAACAACAATGGTATACATTACTTCTCAAATCTAAAAAAGTCCACCAGATATTGTACCCCTTTCTTAGTGGCAGAGGGTATGATGTACAGCAACTTGTCTTTCATTCTATAGGAACTATCGCAACACACCCAAGTTCCTAGATAGCTCAATAAATAGATGGGCCCCTGTATACTTAAGCTTTATCACCTGCATTCTGCCACAAATAGAATTAGCAGGTCATCTAGGGTATCTGCTATTTCTTGCTCTTAAGGTCAGGATGATGCAATCAGTATCTTGGTAGATTAACCTGATATTCACTGGATTAGTGATTTGGTCAAAAAAATCTCTGTAAACTGTGTCCAGAGAGCAACATACTCCTAAAGTAAAACAGTGAAGGTTTACTGCTACACCAGTCAGGTGAATGAAAACTTTCCCTGGTGTTTGAGGCCAAGAAAGTTGCCCTTATAAAAGGTCAACAACTGTGATCTATTCCAGGAATGACAACATCAGGAAGAGTGCCTGTCCATGCCTTCCAGAATATGTTGATCATAATACTGTCATTCTTTACCACCATCTAGCTTCTAGTCTAAGGAGCCTTGGTGGCATAATGGATTACAAGTTGGGCTACTGACCACAAGGTCAGCAGTTTGAATCTATCAGTTGCTCCACTGAGAAAGGATCAGGCTTTCTGCTCCCATAAGGATTTACAGTCTCGGAAACCCTATACAGGGTTGCTATGAACTGGAACCAAAGAGGTGGCACACAAAGGAGCTCTGGTAGCATAGTGGTTACGAATCGGGCTGCTAACCTCAGGGTCAGCAGTCTGAAACTGCCAGCTGTTCTGCGGGAGAAAGGTGATGCTTTCTGCTCCTGCAAAGATTTACAGCCTCGGAAACCCTGTACAGGGTCGCTATGAGCCCGAATCGACTCCACAGCACATAACAACAACAGGTGGCATACAACTGCCATCATCTTCTTCTATTTTAGCCATACTAAAGAGGTAAATGATGGTGTTGTTGTTGTTAAGTGCCATCAAGTTGGTTCTGACTCATAGAGACCCTATGCACAACAGAACAAATCACTGCCCAGTGCTATACCATCCTCACAATTATTGTAGCCTTCATTTTCTCTGATACAAAATGGGAATGATCATTCCTGCCTCACTGTATTGCTGGGGTTAGTCAGACGATGGAAGTCAAAGTGACACAGCACTATAGAAATGAGTGAACTCACCCATCCACTCAAAAGGCAGTTATTAAGCACCTACCCCTGCAAGGAGCCCTGATGGGGCAGTGGTTAAGCGCTCAGCTGCTAACAAAAAGATAGGCAGGAGGGACCATCAAGGGAGAAGAACGGAGAGTGGGACCCTACCCTGAGAAGCAGTGATGCCTGAGATGGAGGCAGAGATGATGACGTGGAGAGAGGGAGCAGCTGGGGACTTTGGACACAGAGAGGGAGAGGGGCTGTGTGTTGATGACCAGGGGGCAGGCTTGTAGTGTATACCTTTTGGTTGGTTGATGATGTATGGAGGGGATTGTAACCATGGCAATGAAATGATATATGATAGGATGAATGTAAAACTAATGTTCTTCCATGTAAACTATCACATAATTCACAATAAAATATTTAAAAAAAAAAAACTTTGCATAGTCAATAAAACACAAGTAAACATCTTTCTGGTATTCTCTGATCCAGAGATCCATCTGATGTCAGCAATGATATTCCTCGTTTCATGTCATCTTCTAAATCTGGCTTCAACCTCACCAGATGAAAGACACAGAAATCAAACTGACTACATCTGTGGAAAGAGACTATGGAAAAAGCTCCATATTATCAGTCAAAGCAAGACCAGGGCTAGACTGTGGAACAGACCATCAATTGCTCAGATGGAAGTTCAGGCTGAAGCTGAAGAAAATTCAAACAAGTCCAGGAGAGCCAAAATATGACCTTGAATATAGCCCACCTGAATTTAGAGACTATCTGAAGAACAGGTGTGATGCATTAGTGCTTATCCTACAACAACCTTACTGATTTATCAACAGTGATATGTCGGATACCTGGTACAGAATACCTATCAAGATTTATCAAGAAAATCTACACATCTGGAATTCCCATCAGCAGTTGCCTTGACCTTCTGCGCTGACCTCTCTGCCTTGAATTAACTAGCATAGCAGATCCCCTCTGAAGCCACTGTTTCGATTGGATGCTGCTCTCTGGATTGCATTAGTAAATCCAAGATTCGTCCCCACTTATGACTCGTCCCATAAAATCATATTCATTAGCTTGTTTAAAAGACTGATGGAAAAATCAGCTGTTTGAAATATCTGCTATTCATGCAATGTTGCTTTTTCATTATTGTTCTTTCTTTTGAAGGCATCCTAACGAGACCAAGACAACTGTATTTAAAAATTTTTAAAAAGGCAGGAGGAACTCACCAACCACTCAATGGGAGAAAGATGTGGCAGTCTGTTCCCCAAAAGATTAAAACCAAAACCCACTGCCATTGAGCAAATTTCGACTCAGAGACCCTGTAGAGGGTTTCCGACGCTGTAAATCTTTACAAGATGAGAAAGCCCCATCTTCCTTCAGAGCCATTGAATAGCCAACCTAGGGGTTATCCTACAGCACCACCAAAGATTACAGCCTTGGAAACTTTATGGGGCAGTTCTACTCGGTTCTATTCCGCCATGAATCGGAATCGACTAAACGATAACACGTTTGGTTTCTTTTAACGTATAGCAAAGTTATACAACTTTATACCCGCTCTTCTCCCAGGTCGTATTTCTTGGATCCCAGGATGGGGAGGGCATCTCCCCAGCAGGCACTTTACCCAGGCAACTCCGGGTGGTGACCTTCTGCAAGATGGCGCAGGCAGCTTCAGGAGCTAGTGCGGCGGCGCGGACTTCGCGTGCCCTCTGACCTGCTGGCAGTGGACGGAGGGGAGCCGGGCGCCGCCATATTGGCTGTTGTCCTGTGAGGGGAGAGGCAACGGCGGCGGCGGCGGCGGCGGCAGCGGGAGTGGAACGAGTAAGCGGCGCTAGCAGCAGCATGACTCGGAGGCGGAGCAGGCCGAGCGGCGGCGCGGGCCGGCGCGAGCGGGCGCGGGCCCCGGGGCCACAGAAGCCCCAGGCGCTCGAGCCCCCGCCGCCGCCAAGCCTGGAAGCGGGAGCGGGTGCCGGGCCCCCGGAGATGCTGGCGGAGCCCGACCGCGACTGCCCCAGGGAAGAAGATGAGCCTAAATTGATCCCCGGCCCGCAGGTAGGAGCGAGCGAAGCGACTCCGGCTACTTGGGCGCTTTCGCATCCCCAGAGCGGAGTCGGGGCCAGGGCGGGGTTGGGGATGGACCATCCTCCCTGGGCTGGGGCTGGCGCCTACACCCAGATCTAGGGCTGAGGCTTTCTCCTGCAAGGCGGGAGTGGAGGCTGGACCCCTCTTTCCAAATCTACGGCACAGCCCATCCTCCCGAGACCAGACTGTAAGCTGCCACCGCCCGCCAGCCCGCCACCGCCGGGCTGGAGCCGAGGCTAAACGTTTTGCTCAAACACCCACACGGGGGCTGCCTCTGATCCTGGGGGCACAGCTCAGCTCTCGGCCGGTCTCCTTCCTCTGGGCCCACCTGCTTCCCTCCTCCCCTCCCCCCGGCCTTGAGAGGGGCAGCTCTGGGTGGATGGCACTGGAAGCCGCTACACCCCACCCCTTCCCCTGCACTGCCTGCAGCCGCGGCCCCCTCAGCAGCTGTGTCCCCAGCTCCCGTCTCCTGGGGCCGCCCTCCTTTCCCTGCCCTGCAGAGCAGTTGGAACAGACAGCCAGACTGACTGGCTAGAAGACTATTTGAGGTGGAAACCCAGCAAAATCTAGCCCTCCTCTCAACTCTCTCCTCTCCCCGGCCCGCCCCGACCCTCAGGTCCTTGGGCTCGGCGAATCCTGCTGAGAATGAGCAGTAGGATGAGTCCCCAAAGCCTCCAGCTTGCCACCTGGAGGAAGGTCATTTTTCCTTTTGAACCCAGACGATAATGGGAGGCACCCTGCCAGCGTTCACCAGAGGAGCCGGGGAAGCCTGGGCCAGACAGAGCTGCTCTGGGAGGGTTGCAGCACCCCGGGATGGGTGGCTCGCCCAAAGCTTGCTCTGACAAAAGAGTTTTGAGTTGGTCTTTTGGCTGAGCCTGCCGAGGAAGGCAGGCTCCTGCAGGAGACTTGGAGGGTCGGATGCAGCGCCGGATGAGGATGAGGCGTGGCGGAAGATGCGTTTGGCTCTGCAGACACTGCATCGGGCAGCAGGGGACTCTGGGAGGCTGGTGCAGCCAGAAGGCATGGCTCTTGACAGCTTTCTAGTAGAATCTCTGGAATTGTGCATGTGAGTGGGGTTGTCGTTTGGGGTATGGTTCCCAAGAAAGCTTTCCCTGACCTCCCTCGTTGCAGTCAGGTGCCCCTTCCGTGCCCACAGAACCTCCGTGCTTCCCTCTGGTAGCACTCCCGATTCTGTGATGAGACGTTCTGTTGATGTGCCCGTTCCCGCTCTGGACTGAACTCCACAAGGGCATAGGCTGTGTCATCTATCTCTGATCCTCCACGCCTAGCTCAGGGCTTTGCTGACATAGAGTAGAAAATAAATAGGTGAATGAGAGAGAAAATGAATCAGTTGAGATTCTCTACATAGTGTAATGGGTGCTGATGCTAGTCTCCTTTGTGTCTCAGCACACATTAAGGTTTTTCAGGAATATGTCACTCTTAGTATCAGAATCAGTATCTTCATGCCCATCCCCACCTCCTACCCAGGGCTGAGATGGCTTTAAAGGTTACTCTGACCACCACTCCCACCCCTACCAGGTCTGGGGTTGTAACCTGAGATTGATTGTTTCTCTAGCCTTCTCTTTCCCTACTCTGCGCTCTCCTTCTTTCCCCCCAGAAGGGAGGACTATGGGAAGGGAGAGACCAGGGAGCTGTGATCTTTTTCCCATTCAGACCATAAAATACTTTAGGGTCCCTGCCACTTCTGGTTCCACTTAACCAGCCTGTGGTCTTCATTATATAGAGGAGCCAAAAAGCTTGGATGATGACATCACCATTCAGCTTTCATTTAGGACACAACTTTTCCAAGAGCTATGAGCTTTAACTTGTCTAACATCTAGGTTCCTACCATGTTCTGTCGACTCCACTGCTTGACCTGCCCATTTATTCATTTATTCAGGCACTTTTATACATATCTTACTTCTAATCTTCCCACCACCTCAGCATTTTGTACAGTTGTAATGAATTAATTATTGGTGCAATTGTTTGGCTTTGCTACATAAACTCTGAGAATGCAGGAACCCTGTCAGTAACCATTGTACCCCTACGCCTGGTGATTAACAAATGTTAATGAATGAGCTGAAGGGTATAAATATCCATTTTACAGATGGAAAAACAGAACTCAGACTAAATATTGACCCAGAATGCCTTGAACTATAAATCTCAGGGGGTGGGGGGGGAGAGAAAGAGACACTCTTGTGAACTTTGGGGATTTTTAACAAGGCTTTTTCTTTCTTTCTTTCTTTCTTAACTAAGACCACAAAGATGTGAAACATACTGACATCTGTGAAACAAACTGACAAATTTTCTCCTTCCTGATTGAGCCCACTTTTTTGCGGAGGGGGCTGGATGCCAGACACAGGCTTTTTTGTCCCTGGTGAAAAGCACCGCAGAAAGGCTTAGGTTCAATCACCCCTCTGCCCTCAGGCAACTTTTGGTGAGGATCTTCTGGCTTCCACTACCACTGGTAACCCAGTCTTAGGTACACAGAGTGGGAAAGTAAGGTGAGACTCAGTGTCATATACAAACATAAGACAAAGGTGGCAAATAGGACCACTCTCGTCCATAGGCATGTTCTAATACCCTGATTCACATAGTGTTTGGTTTAATTTGAGCCAATGTTTTTAAAATCAAAAGACTTCGAACAGATCTGGATTTGTGCCTTCGCTTAAAACTGAAGATCTGATGGTACTGGACCCACATTCTCCCCACATCCCTCTACGCTGTAGGATAAGCACTGGACTACATTGCCAGTTTGGACCACGAGGTCAGCGGTTCAAACTCACCAGCTGCTCCTTGGAAACCCTATACAGGATCTCTATGAGTCAGAACAACCACCCCTCCTCCTGAAGTCTGAGTAGCACCTGCCCCTTTTAGATAGCATGTGCTCCCTAGGCCACTCCTCTTCCATCAAGTGCCCTTCACTCATTTGTACAACCTATACACGTTTAATAGGAGTCTTGGTGACTCGTGGTTCAGCACTTGGCTGCTAGCTAAAAGGTTAGTGGTTCAAACCCACCAGCCATTCTGTGGGAGAAAGACATGGCAGTTTGCTTCCATAAAGATATACAGCCTTGGAAACCCCATAGAGCAGTGCAGTTCTGTCCTATAGGGGCGCCATAAGTCAGAATGGACTCAGTGGCAACAGGTTTGGTTTGAGGGTGTTTTTTGGTTTTTTTTGGTAAGCACTTGAGTGCAGAACCCTGAACTAATTATTGTTGTTGCTGTTAAGAGCTGTTGAGTAGGACTCCAAAAGTCCTCATTTCCAATTATTTCAGGGCACTAAACCACATTGATCTATCTGTTCACTAAGAACCCAGGATCCTATCTCTCCCCCATTTATTTCACAAAAAAATAAACCATTTATTGCTTTATTAGTTGACAAGAAAAACAAAAATCTTAAAAAAGTAGTTGAAGGAAGGCAGTGGAGAATGGTGTTAAGTGATTACAAATGGGTTGAACTCCCACCTAAGCTGCCTCCTAGTTTATAATCCTGGGCAATCTTTACTGCTTTGGCAGCTACACGAGAATACGAAGCTTCCCATATGACATCTCATACAAAGAGACTTCTCAGGCACGAGTGAGAGGGTGGTGTGTGGCAAGAACTGTGTCAGGTGGCCGTCCAGAGCCTGAGTATTCTCACCTGTTCACTAGGATTCCTGTCATTAAGTACCTCCTGGGGCCTGTAGCTTTGTAGTCCAGGTGCACACTCAGTAACACCCCCCCCCACCCCCCAGGAGACTTGGTAGAATGGAAACCAGCATTTGGTGTGGGCTGAGCTCACCCTGTCCTCCCCCAGCTCTTATTCTTCCCCACCTCGGATCTCTCTATATAACATCCTCTGGGACTGGACCAGTGTAGTGTGAAGAGCCTCTAGAGACCTGGTTCTCCCACTGCTCCGAGTAAACCTGCCTCCTTAAGGAATTGGAGCAAAATACCTGCCAATGTCTTTATTAAAACCATCTTTTTATGTTTAAATTCATTCCGCAAGCATTAAAATGACCTCTGTGCCATGATCTTTATTAGGGGTACAAAGATGAATGAGAGTCCCTACCCTAGGGCACCTCCCCCTTAGAATCCTGCCTGCCTAGGGGGCACCCTTTTCATTGCAAGTGGAAGACAATGACATCGAAGGGTCTCTACCACCCAACTCTTTTAGCAAGCTGGGAGCCTCACTATGTTGAAAAGCCAAAATATCTTTGAAGATTTAAAATTTTTTTCATTTCCTTAACATGCCCCAGAGCAATAAGCTTTATTACAATGTCTGATATCCAGATGGACTTAGATGAGGATCCTATTGTGGTGCTTTAGCATAAGCACTGGACTGTTAACTGCAAGGTTGGTGGTTTAAACCAGCTACTCCTTAGAAACCCTCTACAGAGTCACTATCAGTCTACTTGATAGCACTTAACAACAACAACCTTTACTTACTGCACTTAGACTTTTTGAGAGCAAGGACTATGCTTTACCCATTTGTTTGGTTACTGTGCGTAGTCTTCAGGCACTCAATAAATGTCTTAAACCAAATTCTAACAAAAGAAATGTTAGGTTTTACCACTTTGTGGTTACTGCCCCCACTGCTTGACCAGGCTGACCTTTAGGCCACACATTGTATACATGTGCTCCCTGGACTTCCTCTTGCCTGGTAGCCCTGTATTCTACAAACACTAACCAGCACTTGGTCTGTGCTAGGCTCTAGCTAGCTGAGAATGCAGACGTCAATCAGACGGGTCCCTGCTCACAAGAAGTTCATGGTGTAAAGAACAGGAATATTAGCAATTCTGATGGTGCTAAAGAAGGATATAGCATTGGCTTCCTCTGAGTTAAGGTTCAAATTCTAGACCCCCTAGCAAGTGCCCTTAGGAAGTATTTCTGCTTATGTTTTCTCACGTAGAAAATGACACTGATGCCAGGCTCACAGCAGTAATGTTAGGGTTAGACAAGTAATGCATGCAAAGCACTTAGCACAA